TGTGAGTGCGACTTCTTTGCCAAATTGAATTTTGCTGCCAAAAATGGCATCGATTTAACGGAGGCGAACGAAACCAGAAGCAACAGCATTAGGGTCAATTACCGCTGCAAAGTGAATTGTCAACAAAATCGGAGCCCGAAAGCAGGCAGCAAACTCAATTCAACACATTGTCCAACTGCCAACTATCGGCCTGGCACACACAAACACAACACACTCCCTGGGCGTGTGTGTGTGAGTGTGTGGCTGTAAGGGGGGTGCACTTTCATTATCTGTGCAAATATTTGCCAAAAATGGCAGTTGGCAGTTGTCTCCTGCCTCGTGCGGCCTGCTTCCTGTCCTGTGTCCTGCGAGAGTTGCTGCCTCGACACTTTTCGGCATCCTAGCGCAAGTTTTAAGCCGCTTATTCCCAGCCCTTGCCCTCCCCCCACTTCCCCCAGCAAAGTGAAAGTTATTGTTCGCATACACACACCCCTCGAGCCTTGCGGTGCACATTTCATAAATGTGTGTAGAGGAAAAACTATTTTCATGTTGTTTGGTTGCGTGCGCTTTTGAGAAAGTTTCGGCCTCCTCTGTCGGTTGTCGGTTGTCGGTTGTCCCTCAACTCAACTTTTTGTCTGCGCCGGAAGCTGTGGGGCATCCTCCAGCATCCTTCCAGCATCCAGGATGCCGTAAATATTTGCTTTTGCGGCATAGATGCAAACACGTCACCAGTTTGACTTTAAGACTCACCTGGAGCGACGGCCCGCCACGAAGTTGATGTGCTAACTGCCCCACAACAGCATTGGTTTCAGAGAGTCTCAGCACTCAAAGAAATGTTTTATTTGATCTCATAATCTTACAAGATATTTTTTTACAAAAAAAAAAGCAAAGAAAAATGGTAACCATTCTTTTTGTAGGATCATCAGTAAAGTTCGAGTAAAATCTGGAAATAATTGTGTAGCTTAACATCAACTTATAGCAACATTTCACTATTTGGATGTTCCGCAACATGTTTCATGAAACATTTTACTTCAATTGTCAACATTTTCTTGTGCCTTTCAAGCTGTTAAATTCAAGTATATTATAAATTCTCTTATTATTCAAAAAAGTAATTTAGCTATGTCCTTTTAAATTTATTTACTATGTTTTGCGAATCGGGTAACTTAAACTTTAAACATTAATGGTGGAGTCAATCCAAAAATTAAAGTGTAAAGAAACCAGAGCGCGTGTGAGAAAATCTTGGCGGTGAGTCAAATCACTTTTTTTGGCCAAAAGAAAATATATGCGTTACTGGAAATCTTTCAATTTGCTATTGAAAACGAACTGCTGGGCGGGAAGCCTCAACTGTGGACAGGGCACGGAACAAATTTCATACTCGAGAAAGCTAATTAACTTCTCTTTACGAGGCATAAACTTCCGCCATTAAACGCATTTATTTTCATGCGAAAATAAACAAATACCCCGAGCACGAGCCGGCGATGAAGTAATGTTTTGACGGCTCCTTTTGCGAGAGTATGTGTGCACGGATGTGTTTCCTTATGCATTAAAACGACGGCGGGCACGCACACAAACAAAAGCCACGGCTCGTGTGAATTTACGGCAGTGTCGCTGTCAAAGCGGGTTGAGTGGGGGTCACTGGGGGGGAGCAATGTGTCTGCTGGTACTTAGCAAGTTGGCGTATTTATTTAGCACGTGTTCCCACGTCTTACTGCTCCTAGGACTCGGCGTATTTGTTGCTTGCTTTTAATTAACAAATGCCTTGCAACTGTTTTGACAATCATTGAGCGTTAATGAAGGACCATAACCTTACCTGGAGGGGTGGGCGGAATTTGGTTTTTAATACCAAACCCTTAATGACGAAAATGACATGATTTACCATCGCACAAGCACCCGCAAAGGTAAGCCATAATTCAAAAATCGAACTCATGCATTATTTATGCATTCATGATTTATTGGGCTAATCAATTTCCGTCCCCGGGCCATCCAATATATGTTTAATTTGTTGCAAACAGTGCTCCAAAAATTCTCAAGTCTAATTTCTGGAACTCTTTGGAATAAAATACGGTTCCAGGGTTAGGATTTATAAAATGTGAAGATAACATGAGCTTGATAAGACGTTCAGACGTTAGCAAAATATTAAAAGGTTTTGGCCGGATGTTTTTATAAAATGTAATTATAGTTATGAATTTTTTAAATAACAGCAAAAAGTTTGAGCTGGTAACTTTCATACTTAATTAAGATAATTTAATGTGATGTACTTTAAAATTACAAGTGTATGCCAAACAAAAATACAAACAATCAATCTTAAAGGGTGCATTACCATCGACTTGGCGAAGAAAACTTAATTTTTGGCTTTTGTTCATATGGGTAAAAATGCCAAGCGAAGTAATTAAAACTTTTTCAAATCTACAAAACAATTTCCAAATGTAATTGGTAAAGGCTAAAATCTAATCACAAATTTAACTGTGAATAACTGTTTAAAAAGTACTTAATTACTTTTACATCTTCCCAGCAGCATCCTTAAAACCACATTATCTTTAACTTTTGCGCATCATGGCACTATCTGCAGTTCTGTTGGCTAACAGCAGCATAAGCCAACAAATTGCTGCCGGCAATCGTGGCAAGTTTCATTGAGCCAAATTGCATAACAAACACAATTTTAATTAAATCAACAACTTGGTTGGAAACACACTCTATCATAATTGTAACGCACACACAAATGCACACTCGGCCAAGTTTAATTAAAATGTCAGAATCGTTATACACGTAATTTGTAATTGAATTTTTTTGGCTCGCTCGCTCGTCGAGGTAATAATTACAGCCAACGCATTGTGCTACACGCTCTAAAGCTGTTTAGGCATAAATTAAATGCATTTGTGTTTGTCGCACAAAAGAACCCCTATCAATGAAAATCGCATGGATAAGCATATTTGTGTAATTAAAAGTTGTCAATTTAAATTATTTCCCAAAACTGGATTTAACTCATTTGTGAAGCATCCAAAGTTAACAATCAGTTAAAGAGATGCACGTTGTCGGAGCTGTGAACTAGTATTTAGAACACGGCAGATATATATATTTGTGACATTTGTATTTATCTGCCACCCCTAACCAGTTTGCGAAATATTTTCTCTTCCACTTTGCGAAATATTTTCTACTTCTATTTCTTCTCATTTTGTACTTCCACTTCTACAAAATCAAGGAGGAAATGCATTTTAAAAATCTCAATTGTCACAAAAAAATAGCATACTTTTTGGAACCACAAAAAATTCTTTAGGAAAGTAATGAAAACATTACCTACTTACCACAAAATGGTAAATATGGTAAATTTTTGGTAATGAATCTAATTTGCTTATGCTACTTATAAGTTTCCAGCACTTATACCATAATTGTACGCTAACTGCCATATCGGTTTGCTAAGACTAACACTAAGTATTTGTTTACCCGACCTTATGGATTAGGACACAATTTTAATTATACATTTTATGTTTTATAAGAAAAAATGTAAGGCTAATAGCGATATTGAATAAAATGATCACAGTAATGATAAGTTTCCCAGAAGTCAAAAAGGGTTTTCTTTAACTTACCAGCTGACATTTTATTGGTGAATTTAGATCCTCCTTATTTTAGCAAGAATAGTAATTTATTTCGGAACGCCGAAGTTCATATACCCTTGCAGATTACAATTAGATCATTAAAAATTATTCCAATTCGATTAAGTGAAAGGAAAAACAAACAGGAATGTTATAAAACATTTATACAAATTTTCAACATTTGATTTTAAGATTTACCTATTTTCATCTACATTTAATGTTCGTTTCTATGGCAGTATAATCGGATAGACGGACATTGATAGATCGGCTCATCAAGTTTAGTCTCCTTCACTGCCTTGCAAACTTATGACTTAGATTATTAGACTCTGCAAGGGTATAGAATACAGTGCGACCATGTTAATTGCAAATAACAAATTAGCTAATGTTAAGTTACATTTCTATAATTATTTTTTGGTTGCACCTTAGAAACGGCAAAAAGGTTCCAAGCTGTTGTTCAATTTAACATATCAAATAAGTACTCCTTTAATGTCCTTAGGTTTTATCAGCCGTAGGCAGCAAAACACAAAGATAGCGCATGCACTTTATAAGAAGAAACAAAGTGCAATTTAAGGTATAATCCTTATAATAATAATATAAATTTGTGTATGTTCAAAAAATATATTCCAATTGAATAATGGAACATACTTGAATACTACTACATACTACATTTTCCGAATACAAAATCCATTTAAAAACTGTCCTTAAAAAAATACGATAAAGGTAACCATTGCACTTTTAGCTCTATATATAAAATGTATATATTTCAGCAGCCAACATATTCATCAGTATACCTATTTTCTAACCTAACCCAATTATACAGCGTGGTTTCCACCAAATTGCGACTAACCCCAAATAGTAAATAAAATTAATATTTCATTTATTTTTGTCAATCGAAGATTAATAAATTTTGTCAACTCTATATGTATCCAGTGAGTTATCATATTGCTTGTATTTATTCCACTAAATATCAATTGACATCTAGAGTCCGGAAATTAACCAAAATATAAAAAAGCAAACAAATTTGTAAGAAATCATGGCTTTTTATTGTCATGAAATCGGCAGAATTCTGTGTTTCCTCTGCCACAGTACAGTTTGTATATTGAATTATTTCGTATCAAATTGTAAATTATTTGTATATAGAATATAATATTTATACATGTGTATATAGTCTGCACTTTACAATTTAATAGTGTTACAAAATCGGTAGGCAATTTTTTGATACTCTCGCGCTGCTTCTTTTCTTGGCAGCATAAAACAATGTTTTTAATTGTATTATTAATATAATTTTTCTGTTGTAACAAGTCGCATTAAAGTTAAGCTGAGAATTGAAATGAAATTGTTTACAAAATATTTTCGCTGGTTTATTGTTATTGTTGCACAATTTGTTGTATTTCTTATTATTAATCAAAAATACATGTCATTATTAGTTAGAACGAAGGACGAAAAATTTTGAATACAAAAACGAATGGCGTCCGACGGCCCCATCATTTTGTAACTAAATTCATAATGAATACAGGCGACGATGGTACGGGACCTGGGCTAGGATGGACATCATCGAATCTAACGGCTATTGTCATGTTAGCTTTCGCTTTGTGGGCGTTACAAATATACAGGATTTTTATAGAGGGGGGCTTGTACAAAAATTGATCGGAAAAGGTTAACGTAGAGGCTTGAGGTTAAGTCTATGCTTTGCCTTTGTTAAGTTACAACAATTTTACACTTGCGTGGCAACAAGATGACCGAAGGGCCCCTTTATCCGATCTGCCCTTGGTTCAGCTTGATGTTGGGCGCGTCTCGAAGGTAGTTCGTTAGAATTTTATATATTTTTGGCAGGATGTTATGTTAGTTATGTTAACTGTTTTAGCTCCGCATTCGCTGGTGATTGATTTGATGATCGATTTGGTTTGCTCTAACCCTATCTGTGCCGCGCGCTCCACTGATTTCGCTCGCTAAGGTCCTAATATTAAATTATACAAAATAAATAATCGAAACCATAATCATAATAGACAATATAGACAATAACTCCTCTCATTTCATCCTCCAACTCTCCCTCCGCGCTTTAGAGAAACAAAGCGGTAACGACGAGCTTCTACAAGCAGTTTTATCTCTCCTACAGTCCTGTCCTAGTCTTGGTAACCCAAGGCCTAGTCCGCTTCCTGTGCCGCTGCCGTTGCTGCTGACGTAGACACATGGTCATTGGCACTTTCGCTGGCTTTGCTGTCAGAGGCGACGTTGGAGGCTGCCGCGGATGATCCACTGCCGCTTCCGTTTTTGTTGCGGGCGTCCGTTTCGTCGCCATTTCCGGCATTGACCTTGGCCTCCAAAGCGCGAATGCGGTTCTCCTGCTTCACGATTATCGCCTTCAGTTTCCGTATCTCGTCCTGAATGCTGCGCAGGTCCTTTTCCTGTTGATTTCAGGCAGTCATTAAATGACGAAACATTTAAGGAAAAGCATGAATACTCACCGACAAGACGGCTGCCGGCGGGCCGGCATCGCTAGCCTCGTTGTTGTTCGCCGACGAACTGTAGCTGCCGCCTCCCGCACTACTGCTCGCTGCTCCCGAACTACCGCCGCCGCCACCTCTGGGCTTGTTGAGAATGTTGACCTTCTTGTTCACCGACAAAGACTTGCTTGCCGACGACGAGACGTAGCCACCCTGTACAATGGAAACACGATCCTGATTAGGCGGATTAGAAAATCTGTTCGTTCCGGAACACAACAACAAGCAACAATGAACACAACAACAAGCACTACGCGCGTGCGTGTAAGAGCCAAGTTTGTAAGTCTGGAGGGCAGCTGTTTGTACAGTTAGTGACTGCATCCAGATCTTAGTGCGCCTGGTTATCCGTGTGTGTGAAAGGACTGTGAGTTTTGCTAGGCGGACGAGTCACAAACGCAGATAACGCAAAAGGGAACGCAAGCAACACAATCGCAAGCATCACACGATAATGGTAGTAACCGACAGGCATAGGAACCTAGTTCCCAAACTATGAACAACTGCAAAAGCCGTTGGAATACATTGGAGAAGGGGGTCCCACAGTGGCAGCGGCTGCTTCACCGACTTTGAGCCGCATTGCCCTGTACGAACCATCCCCGCGAGCACGCATGCGGATTTAAATCCATTGTCCTGTACGCTTTGCCGCCGGTGGAAAGGCCGGCAGAGTGGCCGAACCTTCAACACACCCAGCCGAGAGCGCTGTATTCCCAACGCATGAAAAGTAGAGATCGAGCGTAGGTCACCACAGAGATTACTTACTTTGAGAGAGAATGTGATGGGATCCGCGTCCTTGCCGTCAATCCACTCCTCAGCGCTAATGGCAGCGTCCTCGGCCAGCGTATCGGGATAGAGATCCTCCTGGAAGAGATCCGATTTGCGCGGCACTGTCATCGATATAACCTGGCACAGACCGTTGTTGTTCATTCGATAGAACTTTGCAACTTCGCATGTGGTGACGTCGCAGCCGCGCTTGGGCATCAAGCCAATACCACGCTGTGGTTCTGTGGTCTGAAAAGTGTTGATGTAGTGCACGAATGGTGGCTCGGGTGTGACCTACATGAATATATGAAGATAGATTATTGAAAAATTTTACACATTCACAAACAGGCAGTTGAGATATAACACAATGAATTCCATGATTAGTCGATCAAACGGAATCAAGGTACGTTTTACAAATTTCTCTTAACTCACCTCAAAGTACCGAATGACCGAGTCACCCTTGCCGCACAGGTAGATCAGGTTCGTGTCCGCATCGTAGAGCGGGAACATTACGCCGTTGGAAGTGTCCAGTTCCACCATTACGATGGGCTCGTTGAGCGCATCCGGAGCGCGGAGGGAGTATTGACGCTCAGAGCTTCGGTTGAAGCCCGTGGTAAAGATCAGGCCGTGCCGCAGGAAGATGGCCCGCGTGGCCTTTGAGCCTTCGTGACACATTGCCTCGCTCTCAAGCTCGCCTGTGCGGGGGTCATAGATGCGAATCTTCTTGTCCTTGCAGGTGGTGACCAACTTAGCGCCATCCCAGTTGAAACAGGCACTGTAGACAATATCCGGATGGGAGTCGATGTGCACAAGAATCTCGCCAGTGCCCACATTCCAGATAACGACCTGAAACCAAACGGGATTAGTTGTGTTCGCATTTTAAAGTTTCCAGTCCCTTACCTGGTTATCCGAGCCGGCGGTTAGGAGCACATTGAGGGCCGAGGGATGCCACAGCACCAGACCGACACGGCGCTGGTGGAACACCAGGTCAACGACGGGTTCGGTGAGTGTACGGGAGAGTCCGCCATCGGGTATCTGCCACACCTTGACCACACAGTCCTCTGAGCCGGAAGCGATCACATTGTCGTTGTGCGGACACCAGGCGATGTCCAGAACGGGGCCTTTGTGACCGCCCACTAGCGGATGGTCCGCCGCTATGCGCCCAACCTGAAATAATCCATGAAATGCCAATTAGTTCTCCAAGTCAACGTAAACTAATTAATTGACGACAACCACGACGGTGACGACGTCATCGCCAAACAGCAACCTCGCGACCCATTGCCCCAGTTTCTGAATCATTATTTATAGCCGACTCCGGCTGCATTCATTTCGCTATATTTGCTAATCCGTGGAGCAAGCATTTTATAAGTCAGCGACTGCCACTTGGATTTTTCGCATTGCTCCAAAAAAGAATTGCAGAGATGGCAGCGTGAAAAATCTTGTGTCTAATAAAGAAAGAAGCAGTCATTGATTTCATCTAGGGACCTTCAATAAATACAAGCATTTATTTTTAGCTTAAATGCTATAAATAAATCTTAAATCTCTCCAACAATAAGCGTAACCAATGTTGAATTTACTAAAGAGCTTTGAAAGAGAAACAGCCTGCTGCACTTGTCTTCAATGAAAGCGATGTTTGTTTGATCTGGGAATATTCGAGTCTCGATTTATTATGTGTATTGGACCAAACCGATACGTCCTCGACTTAACTTAAAGCTCGTATAAAAAGCGGTTGATATCAAAAATAATATAAATACCTTCCGTGTGTATAAATGAACTATTGTAAATGTTGTTATGAAACCACAGTCAAGACATAGTTAATAGCAAAAAGGTTGTTCATTAAACACAAAACTTTTGCGAAATAGTAAAGTCTTGTAAATAATCTAAATATATACATATTTACGAAATTGACTGTACAGAATATAAATATATTATGTATATATGTATATACCTAAGACTATTATTAGTTTATTATATTCCCCATTGCAAATCAGTTATGTTAGGCTATGACGTTCGCAATGAAGTTCAAAGATGATTCCACAACTAATTAAACTATTTTGGGGCCTCAAGAACTTTTGCTCAAGTCAACGATTGCCACATGCCGCCAACCTTGGCGAGTTGATGGATCTCACTCATCATCCATCTCTGCCCCGCCTTCCAACAGACCAAATCCAGTGCCCATAAAATATGTAAAATAGAGCGTGTGAAAGCCGCTCTACATAGAAATCGTCACTTAAAGAAACGGCAGCTGCTTTACCAAAAAATACGTCAGGAGAAAAAACAAAACGCTCGCAGAGGTTGCGGCGCATTTTGCATACAAATTTGTTCCAATTAGAACACTCAGCCTGCTTCCAAAATAAGTTTTGACCAAAAAAAAAAAAAAAGGCCATGAAGAGGAGGTGAGACTGCCGCCCACACGACGACAGCTAAGCGGATGCGCATGTGGTTCGATTCGGAGCAGACTGGCGAAATGTCTTTGGAGAGTGAAAATGAAATTTATTCAAAAGACCGAAGAACACCATAGTTTATTGCTGAGTAATTTGCCTAGCAGAGAGGGTGTTGTAATGCAAACATTTTGGCCAAATATCATTTTGGTATCCATTTATCGGCCCGCTGCCGCTCCGCCTCCGTCTCCTTCTCTTACTCTGGTAAAATTAGACAATTCGGTTTGTCATGTTGGCTGTGGGCCAAATTACACAAAGTGCGCCAGCTAAGAGAATCGTTCCCGCGCGAGAGCAACAGAATTCATAACTATTTATAAATACTGGTGGGAAGCGGCGGCGGGGAGAGTGCGAAATCATCGACGTCACTCACGGAGTGGCAAGAAGCCCGCAAATGGCAGCAAACTTTTTGCCGAAAAGAGCCGTATAAATAGTTGGCTATTGTCTATTTTAAAAATACCTCGCCACAAGCTGGCCACGTTTGGGGATCGCCGCTGTAACATGTACATGTATATAGCCGGTCGGTGGTCACTTACTTTGTTGTGCGGCAAGACGATGAAGGCACCGCCACCCGCCGACTCCACAATGATGGCCAGGAACTTGGGGTTCACCGCGCAGAATGTCGAGTCCCAGCTGGACTTAGAGACGCGTATGTTGTCGTAGCACTGTTCCCGTTTCAGGGCCTGTCCATAGACGTGGCGGAATTTGGAGCTGCGTACCACGCGGAACGACATCTTGATGCTGCAATGGCTTGTGGGTCAGTGATCAGTCCTGAGTTTCTCTATGTCTAACTCTGCAATACAAAATACACAAATATTAGTAATTGGAATGGATTATATAAATTATGCATTAAACCAATCAATCAAACAAAAAAAAACAAAATGACAAATCTTGGGACACCAAATATTCATTTTCCCAATTTTACAGAAGCACAATCTTTTCAAGCCAGGCGGAAGCTTAAAAGAAATTATCTATAAAAAAAACTTTAAGAATTCAGCGTCATACAGAAGATTTCCTCTTGAGATATTATGATTTAAGCACTACGCGATGATCAAACAACGCATAAACCGACTGAAAGCAATCATTAGTTGCTTTCGGCTTCGCTCGCCGATGTATTAGCTTAACGCGTTTTTCTTTCACATCGTTTCGCAGACACGATTTGTTCAATAAATTTGCATATGCTAATATCGCTTTTGCGAAAATCAATGAGCTTTCCCATTCACAGCTCACTATTGACAGGCGCTGGCTTTGTGCTCCGGAGGTTGCATCAAAATTGGTTATGGCATCAATATATCTGCGACTCAAATCGCTGGTCCCGAGTCGTAGGCAGAAAGAACGCTTTCACCTGCCACAAATGGCGCCACTTTCGTTAATGAACTGCCAGCTAGAAGCTAGAACGTGTCGAATTATCAGTTGGCCAGGTTGGAGAGACGAACCCCTTTCTTTAGTATGACATCATAATGCCGAAATACACCCAATACACCTGCCAACACGTGAATTATGTCGAAACATGAGGCATAAGAACCCTAACGAAACCCCAAACCCCGGGCTAACTCTTCCAGACACTTGTAGAGATAGCTACGTGCTTCGCACAGCCGCAAAATCATTTCTGGGTTGGGCCAAGACCGAGGCCGAGGCCGATAGGCTGACTAAACTTTGCCACCGACAACCAGCTTTCGTTTATCATCAGAAAAATGCCATACAATTATTATACCTCCTTCGCTTTTCGCCTTCGCCTTGTTTCCAACATATTTATATTTATTGCAAACACTAAATAATATTTGTCATTGACCCGCTAAGATACTTTAAGCATACATATCGAAATCGCTGAAGAATATGTTCTTTAAAACCAATGTGGGGCCTTTGCTATTCTCATCTTAGATGGGTGTTGGCCAGTTGGCTCCTTGCTATCGCGCTGGCCTTTCGACTGATAAAGAAATATCAGCTCGGAGTTGGCTAAACACAACAGAGATAATGTTAAGTGCTACAGCTATTGAATCTATAGCGTCGCTGAAATGTTTGGCACCAAATGGAATATTCTCCAAAGTGGTGTACCCAGAATATATATCTATATCTGCGGTGTGTATGCGTTGTTATTTATGAGTTTATATGCCAAACACCTTCGCTTGCAGGCGGGAAAATTTCTGAATCGCCGCTGAAGGTCAAACTTATTAATAGAAAATTAAATCATCTTAGGCGAAATTGAATTTTCATACACAAACACAAGCGCAAGATGCTCGTAGGAGCGTTGTAAATCGTATTTGATGTGTTTATTTATTTTGTTGGCATCGCTGGCGTTTGCCATGCCTGAGTTATCATCGCCGTGCCCAGCCCCCACGCCCCCATTCGCCGCTCGATTCTCATTGCACTCGACATTAGAATTCGCGAATGCCAAAAATGTGGCCCCTTCATCAGTGAGTCGACTTGAACTTGCCGCTATAATAATCAGCGCACCAGTGACGATAAAAGAACAGCGTTCAACGGAAGTTGCTTTATGTAAATCTCAGTGAACCAGCGAATGTACAACAAGTAGAGATTCTCGAGCACCGTAATGAGAGTGGTGTGACTAAGTACCCAGCGTCGAGTTGCATACAATGCAACACAATAGGGTCTTGGAGCCCCTTTTCCGATTCTGGATGTGGCATCAACAGACAACCTGATCTATCTTAATGTCTTAGTATAGCTTGAAATTGTTCATCTTTTGAGCTGGAATATCTATTACTTTACTATAGTTCTTGTTAATCGAAATATTGATGTTTTGAACTATAATCTCTAATTTTGTTTGGGGTTCAATAGGTATTTATATATTAAAAATATATGTACAAGTATATCCAGTAGCTATCAGTAGTCACTGTCTCACACCAGTAACTAATCAGTTGACAATGGTGTCGGCCAGCGGTCCCTTCAGTAATTTCTGCTGCAATTGAACGAGATGTAACCATTGCTCAATTGACGCGATTGCAATGGTCCAGCGATCGGGGACTGGCCGCAAATTGGCTTAATGCTTGATTGCAAATCTTGGCGCTTTGTCGACACGTTGTGTTTACCGGCCAATTCTAATTGCTAACAAATGTTGTCGTGTTGTTCTTGTTGCTTATTGCTTGGCGGCGTGACTAAAACGCAGTGAACACACAGTGCAGTCAACTAAGCGACAACTACGAGTAGCTTCCAGATGCTATGCAATCGGGTGTTGGCAAAAATAATATACGATCTCGGTAAATGCAAGTTTATGATCAAATGGGCCAATGCCCCAGTTATGGCAACTAGGGTCTTAATATAATGACAGTTCCCCGTTTCTATTAACGCAAATCAGTGGTTTTCATGCCCTGAATTGCTAGTTTTAGTTAGGGATCATCTATTGTATATTCTTCACAACATCCTCCCCTAATGATGTTAATGTATTATAATAAAAATTATAATAAATAATATTATATCCACTGAAACTATGTACTCAATTGCTTTTGTAGCAAGGGGGTGGAAATATTATAAATAATTTTAAACAAATTTTTGTTGCAGATCTATCTAAATAGGAAGATAGCCATAAGTTTTTTTTTAATTCTGGAAAATGTAGTTTCTAGCCGGAAAAACACTTTGACCAAAGATTTTGATGAGGGTCAAGTGTGGTGATTACTAATTTACTGCAGAAGCTTTTTCCTAAGCATTTCATCCAATCACTTGATCAGCCATTTCAATGCCACATGCATGAGTCACGCATGTGATAAGCCACGGACAAGAGGCTTATCGGCTGCCAGTTGCATTGGAAACTTTCGCTCATAGTGAGGATGGTGATGATGATGTCATTGGTGCAGGTACAACGTCATTGGATATGCGTCGTGTGTGTGAGCGGCGGTTCATCAAACTGCCTGGCCTGTGTGCGTGCCTGACGGCGATTAGCTGAAAATTTGACAAAAGCGCGCAAGTGCCGCGTCAGTGCAACTGATAGACTGGCCGGCTTGCTGCACAGTGGGTGTCGTCGCTGGCGATGCCGACTGTCGCAGCTACTGCTGCCGCGGATGCTCGAGTGAAAGTGGAACTCAGTTGCTAAAATTAACCGCATGCATATGCATTGCCCCGCCCGAGGTGGCACCCCGTCACCCGCAGCCCCCAAACCCCCGGTCATCACAAGTGGCGGCTGTCGTTGGCTTTTGTTGCTGTCTTAATTGCGCGACGCGGCTGCTGCCGTGGCTTCTTCGTACTCTGGCTTCCCCACTTCGCTGTCTACTTGTTGCTATTTTCTGCACTTCCATTTGCGCTTAGTCAGACTGGGCGGCAGTTGTCGCGATATTACGCTTCCCACAAGGCATTATGAATTTTGGCAAACGGTTGTCAGTCGAAGCCGACAGATTCACACGACATTAATTAATTGAAGCCACAAGCAGCATCGGACAAAGTGATTGATTTAAAATACAAATACAGATCGCGTATAATGTATGAGCTAACATTCAAGTATTCTCAGGTAGGTACTTATTAGCTTATAGCACTATTGTAAAATAGTTTTATTGTCTTGTATTAATAATTTGATGCTAAAGGCGGCCTTATCATACATATTTATAACAAGAATGTAGGCTAACTTCGGCACGCCGAATAAAAATGATATATATTTATGCTGAAAAGCATCGTGTAATGCCTACTTTCGTTACTTTCACCTATACATTCTACATTTAGAGTTTTACCGAGATAACCGAAATAATTTTCCTTAAAGGTTTTCTTGATCGATGTCATGGTAGATCAAGCCGATCAAGCATAACATGAACTTTTATTACTATAGTTTTATTGAATTTGTATCACCAGAAAGGGTATTTGGTTTCCGGTGTTTTTTAAGAATGTTTGTTGGCATGCATGTACTTCTCCCAATTGTCGTTTACACGTTTGCGTGTATGCCGATCAGCGCTCTGTCGCAGCTGATTAACAGAATGTGGGCGAACAGCTGTTGTCAGACTGCATAGTCGCGACATTAGCTGACGCATAAACGCGACTTGCATGACCGCTAGTGTCTTTTCATTCCAGTGCGTTTTTCATATTTTTCGTCACTAATTGGTGTTGGCTACGTTTCGTTGCTTTACCCATTTGGGGAGCAACCGAAATAACTGTGCGTGGGGGGGCGCATGCTGCCTCACTCACTCGCTCTTTCTAAGACGCAGTCGCGACGTCGCCGCCGCTGGAGGTCGCTTGTTCTTCACACTTGCTCCACACACAAACACTTACACTCGCACTCACACTCACAGAAAAGATACCGTAATTGTACGCTGTGACCAACTGGAAGCCACGTTTATTGCTCGCAGATATTTCATATTTCGAATTTCAGCGATTTCGTTGCGATTTGGCGCCCACAGCACGCACTTCCCCTTCTCACACCACTGCATGTAACTTGTTGCTTCTGTGAGCAACAATTGGCACATTCTCTCTCTCCCCTTTCTCTTTCCCTCGCACTCGCACTGGCACTCTAGTTCGACGGCGGCCTCTCTCCCTTGCTCTCTCGCTCTCCCTGCATAAACAAGCAGCCGGAAAAGTAACACAAATTACAGCGAAATGCGAGAAAAACAATTAATACAATCAAGTGTGAAACAACAAATTCGACTGCCGCTGGCGTTCCGAGTTGTTTGATTTCTTTCTTTCGTTTTTGCAACGTTTTTCGGCATTCGCGCTGCTGCTGCGGCGGCGCGTCTAAAGACGCTGCTTCTCTTCTCTTTATTCCCTTTTTGGGTGTTGGACTCATATAACACGGCGCGCGAGCGGGAGAGCAGATGGTAAACTTTTATAGCGGCACTCTTCACATGCACTGCGCTCGCCGCTCCACTCGCACAAGAAACACGCACACTAACGCACACCACCCCACACAGACACAGAATCTCAGGCACACAGAAACTGTCGCACTTATTTTTTACCGTGATTTTTAATGATTTTGTAATACGCGCGTTTATTACTCAAGCGCTGCATTTGCATAGCCTCTCTCAATTTTGAATTTCAAAGAAATACGTTGCGCTGACACCAAGCCGAAATGTCTAAACTTTGAACAAATACATATGATTCATTTCGCTTGACATTTAATGTAGTAGGCAGTGTGGCCGCGCAGGGCTAGCCGTAATAGACGGAAATTCACTCACTTTTTTTTATCACTTTCTAGGCCAGCATTCAACTGGAGCTATCAACTACAAAATTTTGCACACGACTTGGAATTTAAGGCACTACTTCAAGACTTTTCAGTCAGCAGCAAGACGGGGACAAATACAAAAATGCCGACGAGAGCGCGCAGAGCATTTAAGAGCAAACCGGTGTTGCCAGTTTAGCTTATTTTAGGCTAGATCTGGCATATTTGAAAATATGAAAAGTTAAAAGCTAGATAAATTTGCGACTAGCTTCTAGCCTAAAAATTTCTTATTATACACTTGCAGGGTATTATAATTTCAGTCAGAAGTTTGCAACGGAGTGAAGGGGACATTTTCGACCCTATCAAACATATACATGTATTCTTGATCAGTATCAACAGCCGAGTTGATCAGCCATGTACGTCTGTCCGTTTATATCCAAACTATTCCCTCAGTATAAAGCTATCTGAATGAAACATTTCAGTTTATCTTCTATATACTGTCACTCGTAGATAAGTTGGAACGGGCCGGATCGGACGAATATATCGTATGTATTTCGTATTGTATTGTATCATTTTCAGTTTACAACATATCATCATCTAATTTGAGAAATAGTTTTTTTGTATTGTTCTGAATTTTTGTCTAAAATTAATGCAGAGGAAAATGTAAAGCTGGAAATGTTAAACTATTGAAAGTTCTACATTTTCGTCTGCATTAAATTTACACAAAAATGTATAGCTGAATATAATGAGTGTAGGCATTACTTGGTTTGAACATAAATATATATCTTTTATATTGTCTCAATTATTAAAGATATAATTGCAATCTGCAAGGGTACACAAACTTCAGCTTCCCCTCTTGTTTATACATTTATCTAGCAAATTCTAGCAATATTTTATATCAACTATTTACTTTGTAAGAAAAATGGCTAAATATAATATATAAAAGCTTGTTAATATTTATTTTAGATCCCAAATGGATAAAATTAATCTTTTTAATAAACATATGGAAATAGTTCAGTTTTGCGGTAAAGAGCTTACGTTATTTCAATTTAAATGCCTTAACAACTATGTTCCAATGCCAAAATTGAACGAAGGTTTCGTCGAATGAATATAATTTAACCAAAATTGCAAAAATCTCAGCAAAATGCGTTGAAATACCATTCTAATCATATAATTTATTTTAATTAAAATACAAACTTAAATAACACAATAATAATTTATGTGTATTGTAGTTATTTGGTTTATAGTTATTTAATGCCAATTTTTAGCTATTTTTTCTCATTTGACGGCTCATCAACTGGCAACACTGGACAGAAACAATGAAAACGAAACGTAAACAGCTGCTTCGTAAGAAAAGAGAAAATGAGAGAGAGTAAGGGATTCCCATTACTGTTACATGACTTGGGGTATATTGTGTGTGTTAATCACGGAAGCATTTCATGTAATAAAATATATAATAAATAAGATAAAATTAAAGCAAAATATGGCGTAAAAAGTACATTTAACTATAAAAATAGGTATTAAATTCTTATGAAGAATGCCCATAATTAATGTGCAATAATTTTTGAGATAGAAAAGGATTTTAGAAGACACACGAATGTTTATACATGTGCGACAAATCCTTTAAGTACTTTCAAAATCAATTTGAATTAAAATATAATACAAAATAATGTATTAAGGTTTAATAAAGCTCTAAAGATGTTTTAACCAAATTAAGGTATGAGCATATGCTTCCTTTCTTGGTTTCTTTTTTCGACACTCTTTTTATTGGGTTAGAAGTTTATAGTCCTTTAAAATCAAATTAAATAATTAAAAATGTGGTGTTTGGCTTGGAAGTTTTTTTTTGTCTTAATAGTCCTTTGTGACGAAGTCACATTCAATGTTCAGTCAGTCACAAAAGTATTCGTTCAAGGTACCTCAAGAATAAATACGTTTTTATTATACGTTTAATATTAGAAAAATACCCAAATGTTTTAAAAAATTTGATTCGTTGGGGTTTTTTTTAAGGAATTCATTTCAAGTACAAAATTTCGCATCAAAAAAGTATTCTTTTTTTTGGTTTTAGTATTACATATGTATGTATTTTATTTATTTAGTTTTTCTTTCATAGCTTGTAAGCGTTGAGGGGTTGGCTACCAACTTTTACTTTTTCTTAGAAGAAATCCGATGAGTCTGTTTTATTTTTTGTCACGATCACATGAAATCAGTGTTGCCAGGTGATGAGCGCCCATATAAGCTAGATTTAAAAAAAAATAAGCTAGAATAAGCTAAACAATTTTTAAAAAATGCGAAAAAACAAGCTACACCCAAATATGAGAAAACACGAAACATATAATATATATTATTATATTATATGAATATGTTATTATTAAAGAAAGTCTTAAAAATATGTTTTTAAAGTAAGCACTTAAAACAAATTAGTTAATATTTCATCAATTCCTTCATGTTGTTCGTCGCCGAGTGTTCGGCAATGAACAAACAAAGCGCTGCTTCCTGATCCTGAGTCTTGCAACACTTAGCCGGAAAATTTATTTTTTGCGATTCAGCAACTGATCTCATTGATAAAATGTGCTTTTTCGATGCCGCATGCTGCCTGATTTCAAAAATTTTGGCTGATATTGTCGACTTACAGTAGCAACAATATGCTTTGGTTCCTTCTCCTGGCACTTAAATTCGTTGTTTTGGAGCCAAGCATCCCGAAAAATCTGTTTATATATAACTTTCGGCATTTTGAGGACACGCTTTACCTATTTTCACAACACAACAAAATTATTGGTGGTAACACTTCAGCCAACAAATCGATCTCCGATGACACTTTCGATTAGAAATAAGTTCACGATCACATAAAATGCACATAACCATCGGAAAAAAGAACAAACTCCAATATTTTCATGCTATAAAGCATATTTTTCGTAAAAAACATTCCGTGGATGTCAAAAATACATAAAAAGCTAAAATATGCTAGATGAATTTTAAAATAAGCTATATTTCAAGCTATAAGCTAGATGGAAATTTTTCAAGCTTTTCTAGTTTCAAATATGCTAGAACTAGCTTATAATAAGCTAACCTGGCAACACTGCATGAAATAGCTGTTTTAGAACCATTTTGGTGACTGAAGTGTACATTTCTCTTTAATACATTAAAATACATGTCTGCATTAATTATTCCATCTATAAAAACAATTGCCCGCTCCTCTAGCGGACATGCAGTCCCAAACTAGAACGGAGCCTAAAAATCTTAAAATTCAGATTTATAGTCTAAATTGCATGAACGGCTTTAAACCAATCTACTGCAATTTTTTATTATACCGTCCAATATGGTCTCTAAACAAATAATTTTTAAAGTTTTCAGCAAACATTCATTGTTCTAGCTGCTTTTATGCCGTGGCCCTAAAAGTATGACACGAATTTTTTAAATTGTACTTTTGCTTGTCAATTTATACCAGGCCCATATCCCATATGTATAATATTTTCCTTCCCACTTCCTAAGCGTCTGGTAAAGTACTAATGGCTATGAACGATCCCGGCGAAAATTAAAATATAATTTAATTTAAAACAAAAAAAAAAGGTTGGCAATTCTTGTAATATATTATTTCTTGGCTGCTTTTAGTCAGTATTATAGACTATTTTATTAGCCCCGCTCATTAAATTTTTGGTATCTGTTAAATTCTCATCTTTCGCATTTATGTTATTATTTAAAGAATCGAAGTTGAACAGCTCTTCTGCTTGGAAATACAATATTTTTTTTTTTTACTTAGAGGGGATTTGTAGAATCTACAGACCAGTAAAAACTTCAGAAATGCCAACCAATCCGGAACTTTTTCGAGCGTGATTTAACCGATCTCTTTTATAGTATTTAGTTTTACCTTCTGATGCTTCTTTAGTCAGCATTCCAACTGGTAATATACTCGTGAGTATAATATCATCACCATGTATAGGAATTTTGTGTAATATGGCTGACATTGGGGTACAATGGATAGTTTTCTATATATAGAATTACGGTTTGATACGCAAAAGATCTAAATTCAAGCCAGTTTATTGGATTATGAGATTTATAACCATCAGAATAACTTAAGCTTATACTTTAAGATTATAAATAAGTTTGGCGTTCAACCCAGTAATTTTTGAATAAATTTCAGAATTTTGAAAGGCTCTTCGAGCTGTATTCCCAAAGCCACTTCGCTTTGGTTGGCTAGCTCTTAAAGATAGAGTCCCCCAGAGAGCACTTTGAATTTGATTTTTCTGGGCCTGGTATTTTTTGTATTATTGTCAGGTAAGCGTATCTGATGTTTCTTTAAGGGAAGCCTGTATGGCATTTTTATATATTTATTTATAACTTTTTAAAGACATAACTTGGGTGCATTTTTCTAATGGAGTGCATAGTATACGGACTCCTTTGGAAGAGGCCAGCTTGGATTTAGGTAATTTTCCCTAAATAACCAACCTAACAAAACATAAAATTTTTTTCCTCAGAAAATAGGTTCTCTGGATCTGGATGGAGTTGCCTGGGAGGCTGGGTAAGAGAAATGAAAAAAATGGAATATTATATATTTTCCAATAAACGCACATTTTAGCTTAATTTAAATTGAAGGGTAGCTCTAAGCAGGGACAAATTTGTGAATTTTAAAAGGGTATTAATAATAATTCTTGGTTATACATATGTAGTACTTGTTATTTATCTACCTCTTAAGGCGAATAACAGTTGTTTTGCAAAAAAAAATCCTGGATTGAAGATTTAAAAAAAAAAATTTTTTAATTTTATATTAAAAATTACCTGAATTTTTTATGATCTCTGTTGAAGTTAACTTATGATTTATGTTAATGATAAGATAGCTTTAAAAAAACAAAAAACCTTAATATGAAAAAGAAATTTAATTTTTGCTATAAAAATATTAAATGGCGCAAGCATCGATAGTTTCCCAGCTGTACTAGGACCAACTATCTCCCCCCCCAGGATAGGTCACCTCAACCGCAACCGCCGACACGTCCTCCGCTACGAGGAGGAGGAGCAGGACCAGCGATTTCGGGTTGAAATAAACCGGGACGGCCGGGTGTTGGTCTTTGTTCAACCCACGGGGAAGTGATGAAACCCTTGGGAATTCTTCAGGATTAACCCCTCCTCCAAAATATATTTCTAGAAAACATAATAATTATGATAATAATTATTTATTTTAATTTTTATTCGTTTTCTTTTTGCTGTTCTTATTTTTTGCGCAGCATTAAATTAGAGAAGATTAAAATAGAGAAGAAAATTGGGAAGGCTTTTGGAGTTTTTTGAAGTTTGGTTACAGCGGTGATTTGCAAATTCCCCGGGCCTAAACTGAATTAAATAGCAACTACAGCCCTTCAGTACCAATCCTTTGGGATTCAGGTCTGAATCAGGTTGGAATGTTCTAGACTACATCCTGAATCATTAGGGAGCTTTCATACAAGCCATCCAGGAATCTGCATACAGTAGGCGTTAGCAAACCTGAATTCGGACTACCTGAAGAATTTTTAGGGAATCATTAAGGAATCCTGCTAGGAATTTGTCATGAATTTCGACACGAATTCCCCCCTGAATCAGAAAGGAATTTTGGAAGGGATTCTGAACAGAATCATACAGGAATTTGAGACGGATTCAGGCAGTAATCGTAGGTGAATTTATAGTAGAATCAGATAGGAATCACCAAGGAATCGTAAGGGAATTCGTTTATGAATCATTTATGAATTGTAGGAGAATTCACAGCGGAATTGGACACTTATCTCCGAGGAATACCAGGCGGAATCAGCAAGGAATCGTAGGGGAATTTGCTTAGGAATCATATAGGAATTGTAGGAGAATTCACAGCGGAATTGGACACTTATCTCCGAGGAATACCAGGCGAAATCAGCAAGGAATCGTAGGGGAATTTGCTTAGGAATCATATAGGAATTCCTGCAGGAATCTCAGCGGAGTACAATTAAAAATCCACCAGGATTACCCAATGAATCCCATGGTATTTTTTCAGTATTATTCCCCCCTCCATAAAATATTACAAAAATCAATATAAATATATTTATATTTAATTATTTTATTTTTTATTCTTTTTTTACTATTATTGTTTTTAACGCAACTTAGCGCGTGCGCCAGGACCTTCTCTGCTGGCTGGCTCTGGTCCTCCAAGCTGGAAATACTTTCTGTAAAGAAAAAAAATGCAAATCAGTTAATATATTCTTACAATATGAACCAAAAAGAACATACCGATTAAAATTGAAAAGAACATTGGGAAGGCTTTTAACTTCTTTTTCCCACTGACCCCTTCAATATTATATGCTAGGAGCAGGTCCTCGGCCAGCACAGTTTTTATGGACTTTGTAATTGATGCCCTCTTTAACAGTTTTGTAACTGCGGTGATCTGCAAAAATATATAGATTTTATAAATATATTATTTATATGTTATTTATAAATATTACTTACACATATGTCTTTATTTTCTGGGGCTAAACTAAGCTCCAGAGCTACTAAGGCCTCCTCGTCCTTTATAGGGAACTCAAGATTGACTGCATTGCTTTTGTTCTTTCCTTTAAGAAAGACCTCCAGCAATGCAGTCAACCTTGAGACCTGCTGCGTGCAGGACGCCAAAATTTCAGTTTGGGCCTGCACCTTCTTGTCAAGGTCATCGACCTTTTGAACCAACCGTTCAATTTCATTTTTGCTGCTGCTTTTGTCATCTAAAAAAATAATTAAGGGGGAAAAATTAAATACATTCAATTTTAATTGATTTACTTACCTTCAATATCAAACGCCAACTTTTGAATTTTTGCCGGTGGCTCCATTTTGTGCGTATCTAAAAAAAAAAAAAAAAAAAAAAATACACACATATTTATGATTTCATTTATGTGTTCTTTTCTTTTATTTGAATAAAATACTCTTTTTTTTTTGCCATCGGACAATGGAAGGTGAATCTTCTAAAGATATTTTAAGCGCCGTCGCTTAAGGCATGCCCGATTCATATTTAAAAATACGCCTACGGACTAAACACCTCCGAAAAAAAACAAAATAAAATTAAGAAAGGGAAATCTATGAAAAATGTAAAAATGGCACTAATACAAATTTCCCATTATATGGCATCGCTTTTGCTTTTCTCACTCTGTCTGATACCCTAAATCTCTCTAAATATGATACCATATTTAAGCTACCTATGCAAATACCTAAAGCTAATGAGGACACAAGTTCTTCAGAAAATCTATTCAATTCTAAAAATCTTTTGCCTAAAATACAAATACCGTCTGCATCTTCTTCAAAACTATCTACCTCAATTGGGATGTGTTCTCCTACATAACAAAAACTATCTGGCCTTTTATTTTTCAGTTTACATCCCTTTAACTGTAAAACGCTACCTTGTAATTTTATGTCATCTAACCCCACCCGAATATCACTCTCCTCAACTATCTTCCTATTAATCTGCTGAAGGATTTGTGTTGGCTTTCGGACAAACCGCTTAAGAGTTTGAAGATAATTCTCGAATGAGTAAGAAGAGCCTAAAACCGGATCACCGATTTGCTGTATAGACTCTTTTACATGAAGTAAGCCATGAACGATGTATGATACACTGCTCTGTCCAAAAATGATGGGAAAATTTGTTACAAATAAGTCCAACATATTTTGGACAGTATTGATGTTGGACTCTCGTTACAAGTGAGAGGACAACATCCTGTATGCGCAGTGCAGCAAAAGGAATTCATAATACTGGTCATCATGAATTGTATCTCTAAGAGCTACAACGCCAGTGTATAAAAGGAATTGTCTAAATTCCGTTGATTTCCAATGCGTCAAATCATCCAATGTTCTTGGCTTTCGAGCAAACTCGGCTGGAACGTACCTTCTCATCGATTTTAAACATTCTGATATTTTTTTTGTACTTGGTTTGGAAACTTTATATTGAATATTAATTTTATTATTTAAAATTCGTAATAAAAATTTTCGCATGACACCCAATTCAATAGGGTGCATGCAGTCAAGAGGAACTTGAGTTACCATTTTAATCCCAAGTTTTTCTAAAGCGGACTGTTTTTTTAAATATTTTACTTTATGATGGTGACGGTAAGTCCTGTCAGAAAAGTTTTCATCTGTTATCAATTCACCACGTTCAGTACTGAATGTCAATATAGAACCTACTTTTTTCCTACTTGAGTGCATTTACTACAGCCATGGGTAGACGTTTGTCCAGGTGTGCCTGTAATAAATGCACGAGCGGGTGCATCGCAAACGATGGCTCTGATTTCCAAACCAATTATTTTATTTAAAATGGTTAAACCGTTTTTAATCATTTCGGACAACTTGGACGAAAATTTTGACAAAAAAACGTCACAATTAGTAGGCTTAGTATGGCCCAAAAAAAACTCCAATTGGCAAAACGGGGCGGCCTTGGACATTATTAACACGAATAAGAATAGACCATAACTGCGCCCGGGAACTTTTAAAAATGGGAAGACCGTCAATGCTTAAATCGATGTAAAGTACGTCCGGCAATTTTACTTATATCGGGTGTTTCTAAACAGTTAAATTTATAAATTTATAAAATTTTAAAATTTCAACAAGGTTTACGGCACATGCTCGTGTTGACTTATGTTTGAAATACAAATTTTTAATTGTGTATTTAAATCACAAGCCTCATGGGCATGTTCCGCTACGCTACCTACATCAAAATCACTAACTCCTATTTCATCGATTTTCACAGGTTCCCTATGCTCTCTTGTGCTACGCCCAGCTTCTTCATCTATTGCCTCGCTTTCTATTTCGCTAGGCCTCTGATAAGCAACCCTCAAAATCTCTTTCCTAGTTTTTACTGCTAATTTAGCAATATGTCTAGAGCCAACCATTTTTCCCCTTCTTAATTTTAGTTAGGGCAGTTGAAATTCTTTAAAAGAGCTAAAAAATGGCGGTGAAAAAAACTATTATAATTTTTTTTCGCATGTCAGTCAGTGATTTCAACTTTTTATTAAAAAAAGTAAAAAACTACATAACTAAACAAGACACTGTAATGCGTCCTGCGATTTCACCAAAAGAGCGATTAGCCCTGACATTGCGTTTTTTACCCACAGAATGATTCTCGTACAATTCAATTAATCTTATTGTATTGTCGCGATCCCGAATGGTGCTTTGCTTGCTGCAATACTGCGACTGAAACCAAACAGCACATGCAAACAAGCAAGCAACTGACGCAACCAAGATAGCGGTGAAAAAATGTATACAGACGACAAGCAAAAAATATTGCTGCAAAAAAACTTTGCAAGTTATTTGTTTGCAGCAAAATGTTTTCACTCGTGTTTATACGTCGTCCCTCGGTTTCTTGGCGTTCATGTTGTCCAAATGAGCTACTGCCTTCTGCAGGAACTCGGATCCTTCATCCGGTTTCCGTTTCGGCGCCTTTGGCTGGAAAATAAAGTATTCAATTAAAAACGTATTTTATTTTATAATATTTCAGATGCCTGGACATGAAGAAGAGTGGAAGAAAGTTGCAAATGATTTTGAAATGCAATGGAATTTTGTCAACTGCATTGGAGCCATTGACGG